GGGACTGTTTTTGCCTTCCTTTTCACCCCCAGCACTTGGCATAGTTCTTGGCACAGAAGAAAAGGTGCTTGATAAAATACCTGCTGACTTGACTTGTGCCACTTAGGTGCCTCATGGGCATCTATCTCACAGCCTCTCTTGTTGGAAGGGGCCTCAGAAGTCACCTAGTCCAACCTGTACTTGGACACAATGCTTGGTGAATAGCAAGCACTTAATACTCATTCATTCATTCATATTCATCCATTCATCTCTCTGTGACAAAGGCTTATCCAGCTTCTGCTTGAAGACGTCCAGGGATGAAGAACTTACTGCTTCTGAATGCAGCTTCTACCCCTATTGGATAGATCTAATTGGGATACAGTTTTTCTTCCATTAAAGCTAAGTTTTTCTTTCCACAACTTTCACCCGTTGTACTTCAGGGCTAAGCAGAGCAAGTCTTTCCGTGGGACAACCCTTCCAATGCTTGCAGACCATTCCCATGTCTTCCCTGGACTAAACAGCTGCTGTTCCTTCATCCAGCCTTGATGGAGTCTGGTATCCATACTCCTCACCATCCTGGTCACTCTACATTGTTAACGTTCTCCCTTAATATGGTGCCCAGAGCTGACCATAATACTTGACACATGTTCTGAAAACAGACAGTTGGAAGCTAAATATCAGGATTCATAGGATTTTAGGATTTAAGAGATCCTCTCATTTTGCAGATAAGGAAACAGAGTCTCAGAGTGGCGCATTGGCTCACCTAAAGATACACAATAGTGGTATCATCATCATTATTATTTTTTCTTTTGGTGAGGCAGTTGGGGTTAAGTGACTTGCCCAGGGTCACACAGCTAGTATTATGTGTCTGAGGCCGTATTTGAACTCAGGTTCTCTTGACTCCAGGGCTGGTGCTCTATCCACTGCACCACGTAGCTGCCCTGAGCAGGATCATTATTATGGGATCATTATCTTGGTTTATCATTATTGTTGATAGAAGAAGGGGGAAGGCAGCATGCATTTACTAAGCACCTACTATAAGCCAGGCACTGTGTGCTAAAGACTTTATAAATATTATCTCATTTGATATAAATACTTGATATAAATATTGGACTCTGGGGAGGAGAAATGTCTTCCAAAGCTCTCTTACTGTTTATTCCCTGCTGGTGAGGTCACTCGCTGGGGGGGTCAGCAGTTGGAGGGTCCATTAAACACTGATTCTGGACTCAGTTCCAGTACCACAACCGTGCCTCCATTCATAAACTTTAAAGCTGAAAAATGGTTAAAAAGTCAGCCAAGTAATTTTGTTGTTGTTATTATTTCAGGGGTGGGGAATCTGTGGCCTTAAGGCAACATGAGGCCTTCTAGGTCCTTGGGTGCAGCCTTTTGACTGAGTCCAAGTTTTATAGAACAAATCCTTTTATTAAGGGGATTTGTTTTGTGAAGTTTGGATCCAAAGGGCTTAGAGGGCCACGTGGGGCTTTGAAGCCGCAGATTCCCCACCTCTGGTTTATACCATTCCAGTGGCTGATGACTTCATTGGCACTGCATCATATTTCAACTTTGGACCTCTTGTACCTAGCACAGTGCTCTGCACACAGTGTACACTCATGAAATGCTTTAGAGTGAATTACCGAATGAGTCTTATGACCTATAAACTATTCTGTCACTAATTAGAAGGGAATAACTAGTCTTGGTGGGATGGGGAGAGTATGTGAGTGGGAAGCACTTTGACATTTGAGAGCAAATGTCATAACATTCTTTAAATAGGAGCAACTGTTTTGAACCCACAGTACTTTTGTCATGGAGTTAATCTGGTAAAAGATGGAGTCAGTCAGTCGACAAGCATTGATAAGTGCCTACTGTGTACTAAGGATTGTGCTAAGTGCCGGGGATAAAAGGAAAGGCAAAGGACAGGCCCTATTCCTAAGAAATTTACTATTTAATGGGGGGAGCAACATTCAAACAGTTATGTACAGAGAAGATATATACGGGATAAGTTGGAACTAATCAACAGAGAGAAGGTACTAGAATTAAGTAGAGGGGGGAAGATTAAGAAAGGGGCAGCTAGGTGGCACAGTGGATAGAGCACTGAGCCTGAAGTCAGGAAAGCCTGAGTTTAAATCTGGTCTTGGCCACTCATTAGCTGTGTGACCCTGGGCAAGTCACTTAACCCTGTTTGCCTCAGTTTCCTCATCTGTAAAAGGAGCTGGAGAAGGGAATGGCAAACAGCTCCAGTATCTTAGCCAAGAAAACTCCAAAGTGGGTCATGAAGAGTCACACGACTGAAAAATGACTAAACAACCAAGTAAGCTTTCTATAGAAGGTGGGCTTTTAGTTGGGACTTTTCAGCTGTAAACTAATTCAGCATAGCTTCTGGGAAAATGCAGTGGATTGGGAGCCAGAGGCCCTGGGTTTAATCCAGGATCTGTTACTTTCCTGTGTGACCTTGGGCAAGTCACTTAACTTCTTGGGCCCTTATTTTCATCTATAAAATGAAAGGGTTGAACTAGATAACCTCTAAGTTCCCTGATGACCTGTCTGAAATTCCATGTCCTAAATTATATAGGTCTTTCCTCCTTGTAAGTTCTCACATTTCAGCAGAGCACGGAATGCTACATCTCTTTTCTGAGGGTGAGGTGATGACATTCTGTGTCACTTAAGTGAGAATGGAGATGTACTCTTGCGGGAGAATACTTCATTGGTACAAATGTTTGCTTTTTTGCCAGTTCTAAGGGGCAGATGGGATACATATGAGGGCTAGTATAAGAGCCTGGGATTAGAATTGGGAAATATTGAACAAAAATAAATAAAAATACAATAGAGTACTTACTATAGAATAATCAATAAATAGACTAATTTAATTTAAAAAATTTTTTTTGGCTATTTTATTCCCACCCCAATTACATGTAAATACAATTTTTAATATTAGGTTTTTAAAAGTTTGAACTCCAAATTCTCTTCCTCTCTCTCATTTGTCCCATTGTTAAAAAGGCAAGCAATTTAATATAGGTTACCCAGAACATATATAATGATAATATGTGGCTTTCTATGTCCATATGAGGCCCAAAGGGCCTCATATATATGGTTTAGCAGCAGCCCCTTTTCTAGTTGTTTGACACCAGTGATCTAGTCCATTCTCCTATATTTGGGCAGGGATAAGAACTGGATTGATCAGATTCATTGAAATTTCCTTGAAAGTGTTCATTAGGATATAACCAGTTTTAAAATGTATGCATTTATTAAGCACTCACTTTGTCCTGGGCACAGAGCTACGTACTGGGTTAATGATGTAATCATTCACTCTACAAGTCACTGTACCTAATTCTACCACCTAAATATGGAAGCTCAAAGTATAATGGGGAAAGGCCTATATTTAAGAGTAAGACCACCTAGGTCTGTCCTGTCTGTCTGTCTGTCTAAATGTCTTTGTATTTGTTGCTATTTGTGCACATCACACTCCCCATCCCACTAAGATGTGAGTCCCTAGGGATTATTTTGTGTGACAGTGTGTAGTTCAGTGCCTTGTGCAGAGTCAACCCCTAATGCTGATTGAATTGGACCAGATGATCCCTAAAGTCCCTTCTTGGTCTAACTTTCTGTGATTCTGGAAACTGACCTCCATGATTGTAGTGGAAGAATGCTAGATTTAGAATCTGAGGACATGGGTACAGATCTGCCTCTGCCACCAAACTACTTATAAAACCACGGGCAAGTTGCTTAATTTCTCTGGGCCTCAGTATCCTTATTTGTAAAATTGGGTCCCTTCCTGCTCGAAATCTATGATTCTATCTATCTGTAATCATTACAGATCTCATGGGATATATACATAAAAAACCAAACAAAAAACCCAAAACACTACTCATTCATTCTTTCCCAGACAGCTTCCACTGCAGCATTCCTTAGATCTCCTCTCTTTTTATTTATAAGACTGAAAGGTCATTATTGAATGCCTATATGCAAGCAACAAAGATCTTGCCATTTCTTTTGCTTTACTTAGGAAGCATGATGAGCAAGTGGACCCTGAAAGAACTGTGTTCCCACCAGTGTTGCCTTTTTTATGACTCACGATCAGACAACTTTGGAAATAGCACATTAAATAGCTGTGGACCACTGGCTGCTGACAAATACTGGGTGATATTACTGGCACTAGTAGAGTTGATGTTGGATGTGTGATAACACACCTCGAGTCTTGACGGTATCATTCTCCAGGTCATTTGAAAACATTCTAAATTTTATGGGGCATTTAAAAACATTAACTTCACCTTTTTCTGGGAAAACACATCTGTGTGCTAGGCACAGGACCTTTGCGTGTGGTATTTGTCACCTTTATATGTGTAAGTTTTCAAGTCCAGCATTACAGAGGTGTTTACACACACACACACACACACACACACACAACTTCCTTTTATAGAATTTTTCTTCTAAAAATATTTTTTCAAACTAAATAATTGCTTTGAACCTTGTTGCATTAAACCTTTGATGAGAAGTACTTCAGATTGTGTAAGTATAGTAAGTGTAAGCCTGTCCTTTTCTCAGTATTGTAAGAGCACTTTGATGATCATACTCGGTGAATGATGGATGTTATCAGCTCAACTTTAAAGATTCGACAGAATGTGCTGGGTCCAGTTTTTTTTTTTTAAGAACAGCTGTAGAACTCTAGGCTTTGCTAAGATTCAAACACAAAGACAAATCTATTTAATGATAGCATCAGTCCTTAAGACCCAATGAACCATTCAAAGCTACTCTTCCTCTAGTGGTTTTTCAGTGCCTTAAGTCGCCTACCAATGTTTGACATAGATGTTTAACTGAACAACTACTAGGTAACAAAATATACTGGTTTAAATTTCACCTCTTTCTGCTTCTGCCATCTTCTAGTTGGGGGCTCTGCTAGGGCTCAATCCAGTGCTTGAGTGATGGACTGGCATTTGTCTGCAGTGAACAGGCAAAATCTTATTTTAATAGATTTAATAGGGCATTAAAAACTGCTTTCTTATACTCAGTTTTGTTTAAACCTACAGTGCTGAGTGACAGGAGCTGTCATGGAAGAAGTGCCAATTTGGATGTGTAACGAGAAGACCCGAGTCCTGACTCAGTCACTTACTGTGTGACCAGAGACAAACTAGGACTTGTCTAAAGGTTGGTATCTTTATCTGCAAAGTATGCTATGTACCTAACAGAACTGTTATAAGTGCTCTATGGAACAAAACACTGTTCAGATGTGAGTAGTTCTGATAAGTAGACAGAAAGCAACATTATTTATACTCCTGGCACTTGGTTTTTCATTTACTTCAGTTAATGACTCCCAGCTTAGAAACTGTATCATTTTCATCACTCTTCTGGCTTTACTAAATTCCTGTGAGGAATTTATTTTATAAAAACTTAATGATTTTCTGGCATTTTTCAAATTAGTGAAAAATTGGGTAGGGAAATAAGATGTTTTTCATAATCACAAAATTCAAACATACCATTAATTCAACTTTAAGTCTAAGCAAAAGGGTAGAACAAACAACAGGTAATAGAAAGCTGTAAATAGCACTCATAACAATTATAAGGGCACGTAGGTAGTATAGCCAATAGAGTGTCAAGCCTGGAGTCAGGAAGATCCATCTTCATGAGTTCAAATCCAGCTTCAGACATCATTAGCTTGTGACCCTTAAGTGACAAGTCACTTACCCCTGTTTGTCTCTGTTTCCTCATCTATGAAAGGAGCTAGTGAAGGAAATGGCAAACCACTCCAGTATCTTTGTCAAGAAAACCCAAAATGGGGTCACGAAAAGTCAGACATGACTGAAATGACACAATAGTTATGAGTTATATCCAGCATAGATGTCTGCTTTGCTTATACTTTGGATATAATTTCAAAGTTTACAGGTGAAGATGATATAAAAAAATTTTTACTGAGTTTTGATAGAATGTTAAATTTTATTTTCAAAATTACTTTAAACTTGCTTAGATCTGGGAATTTTCAGATCTATTAAAAAAATCACAAATGATTTTTAGGTATGGCTTCATAGTTTCTTTATAGATCCCAGCTTCCAGAAAAAGAACTTTATTAGGTTCATACATTAAAAAAAAGTTAACTCTCCACTTAACGTTGTTTAATTCTCGCCCAAAACACCAAAAAACTCAGTTCTGTTACACTTTTGTTTCTGCTGAAGGACCCTCAGTTCTTCAGTAATCCATTTCACTGAGGGAACGGCCTTTTCTAAATCTTCATCCTCTGACATGTTCTCCTCTCTAGCTTTTTTTGGTGATCATGCTCTTTCCTAGCTCCCCCTCCACCTGTTTTAACTACTGTTTCATTATTTCATTATTCCCCTTGGGGGGAATACCCACTAACCACGGTTATTTCTCAAGGGCTTGTCCTTGGTCCCTCCATTCTTCCTATTTACTATTTCTCTTGATCTTACCAGCTAATACGGATTCAATAAGCATCTCTACGCAGAATTCTTAGATCTACTTATCCAGCCCAGATCTCTAGTTTCTCATTACCCACTATTGGACATCTTGAACTCAAAGTCCCACAGACATTCTAAACCCATGTCCAAAAGAATTCATCATTTCCCCTCCAAACCCTTCCCATCTTTCTTATTACTGTCAAGGTACCACCTTCCTCTCTGCCACTCAAGCTCACAGAGGTCATTCTTGTCTCCTTACCTGCACTCACCACACTATATCTGATCTGTTGTCATGTTGTTTTAATAAAAATGTCTCATACACATCTCTTCTTCTCTGACACTGCTGCTACGAGAATACAGGCCCCTATGTCCTCACATCTAGATGATCACGATAGAGTTCTGGTTGGTCTCCCTGCCACTCCAGTCCATCGTCCATTTAGCTGTCAAAATGATCTGCCTGAAGTGCAAGTCTGACCATGGCACTACCTTACTCAACACCAGTGGCTCCCTGTTTGGCTTTTGAAGCCCTTTTCAGTGTCTCTTAACATACTGTACAACGCAGAGACACTGGTCTTGCTGTTCCTCACCTGTCACACCTTCCAGTTCCGTGGTTTTTCACTTGCTGTGCTGCCCACACCTGGAGTGCTTTCCCTCTTTGCCTCTGCCTTTTTCCTTCAAGACAGCTCAAATCCTACCTTCTGCATAAGGCCTCTCTCAGCCTCCTGCATTTGTAGTGCCTCCTCTCCCATTTACTCTGTACAGTTATCCCCACCACTTTGTGACTTTCCCCATCATGATTTTGATATACTGCAGGTCAGCATAAGAAATTAAATGGTCCCATCAATGTTTTGTGCTCCGGGTTAGAAAATACCTTGCCAGTAAGGGATTATCCTTTAAGGTGTTATTGCTTCTGGACAATGACCCTGGCCACCCAAAACCCCATGAATTTCACATTGAAAGCACTGAAGTTGTCTCCGGGTCACCTAACACGTGTCTCATTCAGCCTCTTGATCAGGGGTGGGGGGTGGGAATATGGACTTTAAGGCACACTATACATGCTACCAAAAAAAAAGTCTTGTTACACATGCAGTGTGTGTTCAGTATTATTCTCCTCAAATTAGTTTCATTTAAAAAATTTCATACTTTTTCATATAGTATTTTTACTTAACACTGACCTGCATATAGCCTGTGACCAAATACTTAACCCAATTTTTACAATAAGGAATTGTAAACACCCCATTAAAGAAAAAGAAAAAAATTCAGACTTCTTCTCTAGTATGAAGGGAGAGCCAAAAATTTTACAAGGATTTTCCAGATCGTGGGGATTCGTGTCCCTAGTCCCCATGATGGGGAAGGGATAACCGTACATATCTTGTATGGGCCTAGTCGTTAGTATGCAGTCTCCTCTATTAAGAACGTTAGCTCCTTGGGGCAGGGACTGTGTTTTTACCTTTCTTATCACCAGCTCTCAGCACAGTGCCTGATGCATACATAGTAAGTGCTTAATTAAATGCTTGTTAACCACCTTGTTTGGTGCTGTGAAAACAACACTAGGTTTGGAGTGAGAAGACTTGGCTTCCCCTTTGTCCTCTGTAAAATGAAGGGGTAAACCTAGATCTTAAATCTTTATGTCATGGACTCCTTTACTAGTCTGGAGGAACCTATGAACCTTTTCAATGTTGTCAAATGCATAAAATACATGGGATTACAAAGGAAACATTATGCAGAAATAGAGTTAGCAAAATATTTAAATAGCAGCTTAAGATAATTTCTAAGGTCCCTTCCATGAGCTTGGATTGTATATGAAGTTCTCTAACATAGTGGTAAGATTATGTCAAATTTGGTGTTTTTCATAAAACCCTGTTCAGTTCTTGATTCAAGTGTTTAATCACAAAAGCCATGACTTAGCACCTAACAGAATTTGGGGACTTGATACACATTTATGATGCTGATAAATCAAAATACTAGAGTAATCGCCATAACTATTTCAGGTAATTAGAATGCTTTGGGGATTAACTACTGCTGGTTAAGACAAAACTCATTTTTGTTAAAAATCTTCCTAAAATGTATTAGCATAATGGACATAATGGAATCTTTCTATGTTCTTTCTAGTACTGATGCAGAAGAACTGGACAAATCTATACTGAATAAGTTACACTTAATTAGAAAATGCTTTTTTCTTTTAAAAACAAAAAACCTAGACTCCCACCAATATAAGCTTGAAAAATTCTGATTAAATGAAAGTTTAAGTTAATTAAGGTTTTGCTGTATTTGCAGAGATGTCAGGGAAAGGTAGGTGAAACAGACTCAAGGGCAAAAAATAAAACTGCAGATTTCTCCAACTGTAGCACAATTCAAGTTTATTCCATTTGTTCTTGCAACACAAAACTTAAACACAGTATTATTTAGCATTCTGATGTTCATGAACTAGAATAATATGAGAAACCTAACCGTGTCAAAAGAATTACATTGTGGAAAAATGAACTCAGATATATTAAAATGCACAAAAGCACTAGTTTTTTTTCCCATTACTGCTTAGAAAGATATGATTGTTCCTCCATTTACAAAATAGAATTAGGACAGCTTTATTTATTTATTTTGCATGCAAAACACTGCAATTGCTTATGTGGGAGTGCACTCTCACCAGCTTCTTCTAATAGACACTCATGCGGACAATAATGCATGGGAGAAGGTAGCAGCTCAATTTAAGTTTCAAATGGAATTTAACAAAGTAGAGGGTGCAGAGGATGTAAAACTCAGTAAGTATTCATAGATCTTTAACCATAATTTGGATGAAAACAATAAGGAATGAGTGGCCTACATGTCAGCAGCTTCCACAAATTTTATCTACCTGTCCTTTGTACACAACTAGAATTTAGGAATGCGTGCTATGCATAGAAAAAACATATGGGTGTGTAAAGGAAAAGAGGGACTGTCTATTTCCAAGTCCACAGCAATCTGTCTAAGTGTGGTGGTTGTAATTTGACACTTCACTGATGTGCTGGTGTAAGGTAAAGATAAGCCACCTATAAGTATTTACTTGAGACCAGAAGAGGAAATGAAAATAGAAAACCAAAGCAAAAGAAAATGCAAGATATCTTTCTGAGATGGCTAATTTTACTTCAAGAGGACAAAAATGTTAATTTGACCTTTCACTGACGCATGTAGTGCAAAAAAAAAAAACAAACCCCAAAAAACACAGTTTTAGCTTTTTTTACCCAAAAATATTAATGTTAAGTTGTTGTCAATTTCTCTGCCAAAACTGTCCAGAGACACATTATAAATAATGAAGTTAGTTAAAAAATAAAAGAGAAACCCCAAACCATCTTGGTCAGTATTGTTTATCCTACATTAGTTACTATGTTGTCTTAGCAAAGGAGCTCTTCCCAATTATAGGGTTTGCTTACAAGATGGTAAAGAGAAAGGTGGAAAGGCAAAATTGCCTTTACTGCATTACAAGAAACAGGATAACTTGTACAAAGCATCAACTAGTTTTATATACCACAATGACTCAGGAAAGCAGAAGGCCTGGGAAAGAGTACAGTATACATTCTGCAATAATCAACTACAATGAAACACTTTGAAAGGTAAGGGAGAAACTGTGTAAAGGATAAGTTCTAAGCCTTTAAATAGCATTATTCTAACAGGGGGGAAAAAAACCCAACAAAACAAATCAAACCCCACACACACTGCACTACTTTAACGGAACTAAAATGGACAGATGCCCTACATTTTAAC